CAGAAAGAACTGTGCCTCGCCAATACAGCCTCAGAAGACTTTCTGCTGTGCCTTTTGCAACCAGACTTGCCTATCCCGCATCGGCCTTTTTAGCCATCAGTGCGCTTGTAGCAAGTGTGGGTAGAGCCTTTCCCACATCTTTGTTCGCGAAGCCAACAATCAGGCCTAAAGAGCAACTTCTTTGCTCTATAAACCAAGGCACATAATGTCCTTTAAGTACAGATCAATGTCTGTTCCATTTCTCAGCTGTGTGCATTTCAGAAATACCTCTCAGCTGTCAGCTCACCTTTACCAAGGCAGTCTTCTCTGAAACGCCTTATATGTCCCAGGCAGACTCTGAAACTGAACTTCTAAATCAAAAGACAAAAGGAGATGGATTAATCAATAAGGATGCTTTCATTTTCTCTATTTTTTCCCCAGGCTGGATCCCCAGACATAACAATCAAATCAGTCTAGTCTAAGCTATACCCAGGCCTATAAAGGTTACCTGACAAATATTCTCTTTCACACAGTCATGCTTTTTCTGCCTTTCTCTCTCTTTTTCTTTCTTTAAGTAGACTTGATTTTGGACTTTACTTACAGGAGGAGATAATAGAACACTTCCCCTCACCTTCTTATTTTGCTTCTAAATATCTGCTTGTTGCAATATGCTGCTATTTCTACCATAGTGTTAGAATAAGACTTTACAGACTATATAAAATTATTTACTTCACTCATTGCTTAACAAAACTTGTTTTGGGAGGGTGAAAATCCCAGTGATGCTAAAAAACAGTCACATTGAAACATTTAAATGATAACACTTATGTCTAAGTACGGGCAGAAAATTAACAACTGTAGGTGACCTTCTGTGGACTGAAATTGTGCTTGGATATGTTCTCAAAAACTGGCATTGATGAACATTACGTGTAAAGGTGGCCCTGTTGATAAAGTATATTGGGAAATTCAGTAAATATAGATAAAGTCCGTTACCAAAATCGAATGTTATGAGGAGGGATACTTCAGAAGAGAAAATAGGTGATGGAGTGGCATGAGAATAATTAATAAAGCAAAGAGGCAAGAGTATGTAAGAAGAGGAACATGCAGTTCCCAAAGTTAACTCTGCACATTTGGTATGTCAGCTTTCTGTTGTCTGATTGTTGGGTTTTCTACCTCTTCTTTGTACCTGCTAGTTCTCATGATATTGAAACCAGCTATGCCAATTTAAATGACCAGAAAACAGGTTTGAACCAAAAAAACCAAGTTTTTTTTCTCATAACTGGTTACTAGTGAAACTCCTTGCCACAAAGTGTTACAGATTCTGAAAACATTAATAAATTCTGGAAACAGGCTTGAGGAGGAAACATCAGTCAAGAGATATTAAACACAAAGATGAGATACAGCCTGCAGGTTAAGAGCTCCTCATGGGCAGAACCCTGGAAGCTGAGAGGGGAACTGATGAGAGGCAGAGTGGAAGCATTCCTTAATATTTTTCCCCAGATATTCAGGACTAAATGAACAGTTGTTCTACACCACTACCACTGTGCTTAGGTTAAGATTTCTTCCTTTCTGAACTTAAGAAGGAAAGCAAATCCAATCCCTTTCTTCTTTTAATCTGTTTTAATGAAATAAAATGCAAGATGGAACTGCACACTATTTTCTTTTAAAATAAAAATAATTCAACTAGTTCAGATAGTAACTAAAGATCTTGTTTCCTTTGGCTGGCACAGACACATGTAGATACTGTTTACCCCAAATGGTTTATCACATAAAACAAGATAGAGCAAACACTTCCAATACATAGAAGTCAAAATAAGGAATATATTTTGTAATACTAGAATCATAATCTAAGAGACTGCGCATTTCCTGTCTCAAGCATATAATATTTGCTTCTTTTCTATTTTCTCTGATTAACTATCCACTGTGCTTGAGCACCAATCAGTGCAGAGTTTTAGCCAGGTTTGTTTTAGAAACCCAGTCGAAGAAAACTGAGGGAAATATATGTGCTTTAGGCAAAGTGCTATATAGGTTGGCATCTCTGATGAGGGCAGAATTAAATTAATAAAATTGGCAGCTAGAAGTGGACTTCTTTCTTTTTCTCCTTTATGGGACTGACAATGAATATGGAACCCTGGAGTGCCATTTCACTGAGTCAGTTTTCATGTCTTTAGGCAGTGAATTAATTTACCAAGTCTATGGGAAAACTATAGAGAGTTAGCAATTTCTTCATAAGAGGGAATCCTGCTAACTTTTATATATTTTATGGGATATGAGAGATGTCTTATGAAGTTGGTGATGTATTATAACAGTGCCAGTACTGGAATTTCTCCCTGTTTCAATCTAGGCACTTAATCATAATATACTATCTCCCCCTGCTATACTTACCTACTCTTCCCACCAATATTAACTCTCCTCTTCTAATTTAGTCAGAGCCTAAGACATTCAATTAGAAACGAGCATTATGGATTTGTCAAATAAGTTCTGTTAATTATCTTTTATGGACCAGTATGGTAGAACATTTACTTTTAAGTACACTAAAAGCATTTAATAGTATACTTAAATTATTCTAATAGTTTGCTAACTGTGTTGTATGTTCTTAGGAGATGCAATTAGAAAATTATGCAACGTTGCATCTGCCATGGAAAATAACATAATTCTATTGTTATACCTTTTCTATGTCAGATGCCATACTAATTACATCATTTGACAATTACTAACTGTAACAGATTATACACATCCAAGTCATATAATCTAGTTCATGAGTAAGACAGCATTACATAATTGTCAAATGACCCAATGGAAAACAAAATTAATGCACTGATTAGTATTACTAATCCTAATTATATATTTAAAACTTTGTTAAATATACAAGGACAAAATTTCCTCAAATATCTAAGGTGCTTAGTATATAGATGCAATTAAAATAACCCCAACTTTTAAAAGACTTTAGATAGAAACATGATTTCAATCTAAATAAAACCAAACTGTATTCTAAGAAGTTCCCATTAAGTGTCTGCCTCATCCTGGAGGTACTACAATTATAATTTTCTTCCTTTTCAACTTAAAAATTGCCTTTGGATTCTACTACCATGCAAGCCAAAGCTGTTTATATATAAAGCCTGTAAAATAAACCAGTTGTTTGTCTTTCAGAAAAAAAACAAAACACAACAAAAAAATAGGCTCAGTGCTGCTTTTCTATAGTGTCTTCTGGGATGAGATCAATGGTAAAACAGCTGCTTGGTCATTTCTCTTCATTTTGGATGTACCCTCAGGAACTCTGGCTAGAGCCTTGCATTTTGCTCACTTCTCAGAGTGCCCACCACATATGTTAGAGTTTATCCCCAGTCAGATGATGTATGGAGTGACAATCTGACTGTCTGTTTTTGAAATTATAACATCAGGCAACTAAAGTGATCCAAAATCCTTGCTTGCATAGTCGTTAGAAAGGTAAATGTGCATAAGCTATAGACTGAACTTGCCCCCAAAGGATTTATAAATGGCTGGAACTTGTCTTGAGTGTGATCTGGGACTCAGATTGCTCCATGTGTTGCCTGATCTAGTTGAGAGACGTCCCTGCCCATGACAGGGAGGTTGGGTTAAATGATCTCTAGGGTCCCTTCCAGCCTAGGCCATTCTATGATTCTATGATGAGGGTTTGTCATGGTCAGTGTGGGCAGTTTCCCACTGGTGAGGAGATCTGTGATCTGGGAGCAACTTGCTCATCCTACAGCAAAAGTGATGTTTAGGTCACTGTCTTCTGCTCAGCGTTACACTTTTGATTCAAAGTCTTGCACCACGGGAATGTTCTAGAATCAGTCTGATGAAATTCCCTGTACTTTCAGAGACACACAGTGTTCAACAACTGGTTCTTGTGCTTAGCATTGTTGGCTCTAAGAAAAGAACAAAAGACACTACCTGGTGCCAGCCTTTATCTGTTGAGCTGGAAGAAAAACAGCTTCATTCCTACTGCTGTAAGACTTTTTAAAAGGTGTATTGGTTATTACTAATGATGTCACAATATTTTCTTATAGGTTACGTATGAAATTGCTGGTGCAATAGAAAAAAATAAAGATTCCCTTTCACAAAATCTCATATTTGTAATGAAAAGTAAGTAAATGGTTTTGTGGTTGATGTTGTGAGAAATCAAGATATTGTGACTTGATTTTAATTTTCATTTTATTTTTAAGAGAAATTTATATCTATTTTATTTCAGTTTAAAAAAAAGTCACCCTGATCTTTTTGAAGTATCCAAGCATTGTTTGGATGTTACTCCAATTTAGAGAGTTTTTAGAATTCTTGAACATAAGGCATCTTCATCATGTATCATGATGTGATGTAATGATCCAAAAAGCATAGTGTGATAGATGAGTATGACTTAAAGAAACCTTTAAGTATGAATTAAAACAAAAATAAACACCAGAAAATAGAGAAAGAAAATACGGCTCCCAAAATCATAGAGGCTGTGGTGGGATGCCCTTCACTACTTGAGGACCTTTCTAAAAGCAGGAACTTGTGGGCGTTCTTATGTTTTTCAGTGAATAGATACAAATGTCCATTGAAATACAAAATTAAATACCTTTCCTTGTGCATATTGTATAATTATGCCTAATAATAATGCATCCCAGTTTATTAATTAATGATTCATAATTAGATTATTGAAAACCTCTATCATTTTCCCTTCTCTGAAGAAAACCAAAAGATATTCCCCAGGGAAATGTCAGTGTGTCCTGAGATGTTGTTTGTCTTTTCTCCAACCACTGCAGAGTTTTTCATTTAATATATTATATACTCATATTTCTTTCCATAGAAATACAGGTCATTTGGAGACACTATTTGCCTTCCAAATCACCCACACTGTTACAATGTATTATTTTTAGCAATTTTACCCTAGTAAAATAATTGATGCATTTTAAAGGCAAATGATGTACATTAAGGATGAAGGAAAAAAAAAAAAAAGAAGAACTGATATGGAATGTAATCCTATTAATAATAGTTTTAGAGATGTTCCAGTTCTCACTACTTGGAATTTACATGATAGTCTGCTAAAGGGTATAAGAAGGTATGTTCTAGTATGTTAGTATTATAATAATTATAATTAATGGAAAAAATCTGAAGGAAGAATATTTGCAAGGATGTTAAGTCACTTAAGGTCTATGTTGCTTTTTTATTAAGTAACTTAGTCTTAAAACCTATTGATTATCAGTGACATATTTCCTTTAGGGTCACTTTCATAAGTTATGTAGACGTATACCTTAAGTGCATGTTTCCTTGATTTTTATTGAATTTACTTTCCTTAGGGAAAACTTAAAAATATGCTAACAACTTTTAAAAAATTTGAATATATGTGTAAAAATGCCAAACATACCTGTCCGAAAAATAAAACCATGAGAGAATATTGACATAGGTTTTATCTATTTTAATTTGAAGGACATAAATTTAAGGGGCTTTTTTAAGATTAACTGCTGTGACAATACAAGTAGCATGTAATTACCATGATCATCTTAAAAAGCCCCTGATCATAATCTCACAAAGGGTAATGTTACTGAAATTAGTATAAGGTATCCTATCTATGTTAAAACTCAGATTTTTGTTTTAAAAACACCTCTTGGAAGTGCATTTGTTTTGTACTAATTATCACCACTGCATCAAACCTACGTATGTCATTTTCTTTCTTCTGTAAATGCTTATAAGTGTGGTCTTGATGTAGAGAACTGTGAAGCCAGCTTGCTCCAGTTCTGTCCTTTATCTTGCCTTTTTTTTTCCCCATCCCTTCCCATCTTGTGTTTAATATAATTCTTTATCTTTGGTGCAATGTCTATAATTTATTTCTGTCAAATATCTTGATCATTTCTAAATACTACATGCTATCTCTTATATTGCTTTAATAGATGGATAAATTGTGAATCTTTAATGCAGCAAAATTCAGAGGTGATTATCACATAAGTAATGTAGTTTAGACAGATCACAGTGTGAAATGTTTTGTTTCTTGTTCTATTTTGTTCAGCACAGGACCTGAATATGTTTAAAAATACTGTTACTGATGGCTGATGTCCTTAAATATCGAATGCTCTTTGATAACTAACATAATAGTTTATTGTTTTGTCCATTTGTTTCAAGTTTACTAATTTAATTCTGGCTCCTACTGCATGTATTTGTATTTCCAAATACATTAGATATAATTTTCTAACTTGAATTTTATCTTCATGCATTAATATTTTCTTTTTTTTCCCAGCTAGTGAAAATATAGTCATCAATCAATTGTTCCAGTCCAAGCTGACACAAACTGGATCACTTGTTCCTCCTCATTCCCTTAAAATCAAAGGCTGTAAAGCAGCTTTGCTGAGTAAAAAACCATCAGTAGCCTGTGCAAGTGGAGAAGCAAAGAAATATATTGAGCTCAGCAAGGTAAGAATTTAGGACTCTTTCCTTCTGGAACATTTTCCTTGATTACTTTGTAATTTCTGAAAGCTCCTTCTTTGCTTTATTCTCTGTAGTCATTGGACTATTAAAATAATTTATTACTTAATATCAGCACTAAAGCAATAGTGAGAACTATCAGGTTTTAATTTACTAACAAAGCTGGTTCAAGAACCTCTTTCTTGGACTCTCTAAGCAGGTTGGGCTAGATGATGAGGTCCCCTGAAGCCTGTGCTATTCCATGAATTTTGGTTCCGGGGCTTAGCAGTGGATGTAATGTTACTGATTTTTGGCTGTATAGGAACTCTTGGTTGTTTTGACTCCTTAGCTGACTTTCTGATAAATAGTCAAGTAAATGAAAACACAGTCCCAAATGTCTTTTTTGTGTTAACATGAGAAGATTTCTGGTTTCCAAAACATGGTTGCTGTAATTTTGTATGAAGATCAACACTGTACATTTTGGCCAACTGTTATTTTCAATGGTCACTTGCGTGTAAATTTTCCCAGTCAAATTTTAAATCAAATCAAACTCTTAATTCCTGAATTTCTCTCTTCTTCTGTTAGTTAAGTCAACCAAAAAGGTTTGTTGGTTTGGATTTTTTTTAAAAAAAAAAGAAGTATGGCTGCGGGGGAAACTTGTGAGGCTATGAAAAAATTAATTATTCATGTCACATGGAACAGCTCTCTTTTGAGAAGAAAGAACATGATTTGCTGCATCCATTCTTGACAGAGCTTTGGAATTCCTCCTTCTTCTAGAAAAGAATCAAGCACTTCTCACAATGCATCAGCTGCCTCGTCATGCTTCTTGAATCTTATGACTCTATTTTTGGCTTACAGCTGCATAAAATTGATTCTCTTGTGGGATTAAGGAGCCTCCTCTCATGTGTCATTGTGGAAAGCTTTATGCAAGTACATCCATAGAATAGCAATGAAACTTTCCTTATAGTCCCCTGCTGATAGTAGTGTAATTCCTGTCTACTGTTCTTGTCAGTAATCTCAGTGGAAAAACTTAACTTGAAGTGAATGGTGTTGGTTTAACGATATATTTAGCAAACAGCTGAGGCATCACAAGGTGCCTTTAGGTGCCTTTCCGCTATACTATCAGCTTCCTAGAGGATGTGAAGAAGACTAAGGCTATGAAAAAGATCCTAGTCCCATAAATGGAAGGAAATATGAAAAGCATGTCTAAGTTAGAAGCCTAATCAAGCCAGGGAGAAACATCTCACAGCTGGGATCTCTGAAACTATGAGGTTTTTGACCAGTCCAGAATAGCTTTTAACCTGGCATTACTCTCTGGAGAGACAGAAGACATATTCACATTCCTGTGGGAAGCATGATAAATTAAGTCAGAAATCCCAGATTCAGTAAGAATGCTCTACACTTTTAGGTATTAGATGGAAGATGGAAAAAACTTTATCCTTCATCTGCCCACAGAAACAAGGATGGCTTGGCTTCTCAGAGGTAGGCTTTGAGAATTGCTGTGCAGCTGAGACAGAGCACCACTTAGTTTGTAGATACTAAGTTAGCCTAATCTAGTCAAGGTGCTATGCTGTCCTGCAGGACAGAAGCAGAACTTTAGATATCTAAGCTGTTCCACTGGCAAAAAAAAAAGAAAAAAACAAAGAAAAAAAAAAAAGAAAGATGTTTCTTGTTTTGGAATAGGCACGTGATGCAGGAGCTGGAAGTAGGTAAGTGCTTAAATTTCTTTCTGGATCAAACCCACATCTGTAACTGTGCTGTCACAAGTAATTTCTTCCCATTCCCAGTATAGCCTATATCCACTGTGATGGTCTGGAATAATGTTGGTTTTGTTGTTATTGCAGTTGGAAAAGTAATGTAAGGGGTATTTTCTTATCAGCTTAGAACTCAAATGTCTGTATGATAGAAAATCATCAACCACTGCATATTTATGGGAGTTTATCCTGAGGGTAACAGCAATTAAGGGGGGGGGTGGGAAGGAAAAAAAGAGGAAGGGGAAGAAAGAAGCACATTAAGGCATGAATAATCAACTGGAGACTGACATTCCAGTGTAACACACATCATACTGCAGGCAGTGAGAAAGGCAAAATGGAAAGTGTTCATGTTGTTCATCTAGTGTTCATCTAGACTCCACCATATCCATGAAAGAGAAGTAGATACTTTCAGAGAGCAGACAGGAATTTGTTGTGATTCCCCTCCCCTTTCAGCCTGTCATCTGCAGTCCTAACTAGGTTATGTACTTACAGATTTTTCTGTGTATGGCTATGTATCTACCTGTTTACCCTTCCATAAATGACTCTGCTTGATTTTGAGCATGCTCTTAGAGGTAAGGATGGTCTACCTCTTTGATCTCACTTCTCTACTTGTAGTAGGGTCCAAGAGAATGGTGCTTCCATTTTAAGATGCATATGAACACATCTAATAGCTGGCTATTATTTTCGAGCATACAAATAGACTCAGGAATTTGGAGATGCCAGCTCAAGTCTCCATGACTTATGAAGACTGTGTGTCCTTTTCAAGTGAAATAGAATATATCTTCATTGATACTCTCACAACTCGTGTTCACATCAGCTCTTACTCCCTTGATTTTCTGTAGTCTTAGTGCATGCTTTGGCCCTGTTGCCTTCCCCTTAATTCCTTTGGAAGAAGCAGTGGGTTTCAGAGTTCATACAGCAGAATTTGAGTCATATGAATGCACATCACTAACAGAAGACTTTTTTTTCCCAATGACATCTTGTTTTGTTTATGAGCACTTTGCTTCTTTGTTAGTTGAAGAACTCATCTATTGAAAAGCTTTTGGTATGTCTTCTGGTAAAAGCTTTAAAATATTCTGCTGGTAAAGTGAGATTATTTAGGAGGAGGTTTTAGCTTCTTATCAGAAATTACAAAGTCATATGTGTGTATATTTTCTCTGTAGATTAGAGGTACAAGATTTTCCAACATAAAGCTGAATATTTGAGGGTAATAGAGAAGTAGATCTTTGGTGATGAGTCTTGTTCCTTAGGCTGTAGCTGAGGATGTCTAGATTTGGTGAGTTGGAATTAAATTAATTTTTTGTCTTTGCTTTGTTTCCTTTCTTTTCTCTCTCTCATTCTGAACCAAACACTTCCTTCCCATGTTAAGAAGTATCCAACACAGGACAGCAGGCGGGAACTTAAGCATCCAAAGTGTTGTTCCTGGCTCTTCCAGTAACTCAGGAAATGGCCTTGAATTAGTGACTAAATCTATTGTAGGCCAGAACATACTGACTTGATAGAAAGGGAGTTTTATGGAGTAAGTGGACTGGAAAAAGGCAGTTGAAAAGTCAGAGGTGAAAAGGCTGCCTGTTCTAGAGGTTTGAATCTAAGAGCTGGGCCAAATCCTGGAAAGCAATAATTTTGCCAGCCTTCCTCTAGAAAGTTTAACAAAACCCCCTAATTTCTAGAACCACTTTTATGATGATTATTGCTATTTGAGTCTCAAAGATAGGAAGTAGAACAGTAAAAAAAAAAAATTTGTTCTCCACTCCCATTTCTGATGTATAGGATAACATTGGTTCTAATGAGATATGAAGTTATTGATCATTTGTGTCTATAATGGGTGAAAGCGGGTTAAAAGAGAAAACAAGAAAACCTCAACTGCATTCATATGTGCAGGAAGAAAAGAGAAGGGTTTTTTAGTGTTATTGATTTTGCCTTCAAGATTTTTTTCTTAATGAGCTATGCTTACTTGCACTTACTCATTAAAGACCTGCCAAAGACACAAGGAACCTGTTCCTGTTCAGATAGTTACAGATTTATGCTACTGAATGGGTATATGGATGATGATTTATGCTGCTGTATGACAGACGGTATGGGATGTTAACTTCACAAGCCCCACTTCTGCAACAGAGTTTCAGATCATATTGCTTTGCCCAGTTATTTGGAAAAGGTCTTTTATCTTTCCAGTGGTATACAGTTGCTTTTGAAATCAAAACTTTCTTCCAGTCATGGCTCTGCAGGTACTTGGAGATATGTATCCACTTTCCAAATTCTTTCTGAAACTTACATCATTGTAGGTCAAACTATTAGTATCAATATTTCCTTTTGTTAATAAATTGTATAACAATGAAAATGAAGGTTTACTGCACATCTTGAGATTAAGATGTTGTGTGTATGCTTTTCTCCTTCACAGCTCTTGAAAAAGAAAGGAACATCTTCATTTCTTCAGAAACTGGAACGAGGGGGACCAACCACTGTGGCAATACAGCTCAGGGTCAGTGAATATCTTCTGGACAGAAATTTACAAAATATAACCCCCCAAAAATACATTATAAAGGCAGAATTAGTCTCTACAGATTGCAATGGAAGAAAGAAAAATCATATGCTTGAGAAAGCCACTTGCATGGCTAGGTCAAGCCTTTTGAGAAAATGATGTTAAAAGGTTAGGAAGCGCATACATGTTGAGCAATTGCCTTTGCTTTACAATAATAATTGATAACTTTTTTTTCTTCCCACAGAAATCGCTCACAGATATTATTGGGAAGCTGCAGAACTGCACACCACATTCTGTTCATTGTATAAAGCCTAATAACTCCAAGTTGCCAGATACTTTTGACAATTTTTATGTGTCTGCTCAACTGCAGTATATTGGTGTTTTAGACATGGTCAAAATCATACGGCATGGATATCCAATACGTCTGTCTTTCACAGACTTCTTGTCAAGGTAAACTCTTCTAAGTTTCATAAAAACTTTTCCTTAGCGACAGTACAAAGCCTTCTGTCATGTTCTGGTAGTGCTTGCAGTGTTGTTTTGCTGATGAGTCTTTCAGACTTTCTTCAGAGAAAAATCATGTCTGCCAACAAGGACTGTAGGCTTGTTATTTTTAACTGAAGAAATCATGAAGTTTATGGAAATATATTTATAAAGATCATCAGCAAAATATACTCAACTAAAAAGATATAACTTCATAAAATAGTTATATTTTTGTAATTTATGCTATCTGTGTGATTTGTAAAAAACCTCCACAAAATATTGCATGTTGTCTGCAGCTAATTAAAAAGCAGAAGGAGAAATAGTCTAATTTTTTGAGTTTATCAGTGTAGATGTCAGAGATTCAGCATTTGTATTTCATATGCTAGAATTTGTTACTGTATAGTGGTGATATTAATGCTTATACCACAACTCCATTTTAATTATTGTTATTAAAAATTAATGCAACTTTGAATTAATGTAAAAAGGCAAAAATAAATATTTCATTGCTTCTGGCTGAAGGCAAACTTGTTTCACCCATCTCCATTTCAATTTTGGGGTTTTGGCTTCCTTGCATTCCCAAATGTTTCAGATTAGAAAGAGCACTACCTTGTCCAAGAGATGTTTGGTTAGCAGCCTCAGGCACTCAACACACGTTCCTCCTCTCTGCACGTTCTGCTCCTTGACTATTTCATTGAGCAGTCATGATATGTCTTATGTATTATTTTACTTTGGAAAAAAAGTATGTAAATATCAGCTGCTTACACACATCTAAACTTTCAGTTGCCTTCTTGGAGAAACTTGTGGATGTTAAATTATGACTTGGATAGGATCATATTTGCTTTGGCAATTCTGTAAATGTTCAAGAAGCACAGGAGTAGAGGAGTTTATAATCCCACGCATTTCGAAAGTAAACCACCTCTGTCCTACCACAATATTCATCCTGCAGCGTGAATCCACAAGTGCAGACTGGCTGAGGAGAAGATGCAGATAATGAGACATTTGGAAAAGCAGGCTGCTTTCGGATTCGGAAGTGGTAGGGGCAATCTCTATATAGCCAGTTCTATATTACTGAATTGAATACTTCAAGGGATTGTGGCATGGGCATAAACCCACGATACCTTCTGCTGTTAAATCCTTACAATGGCTCCTTACAGCGATTTGGTCCGTGCCACCTAGCTTTTCCCATTGCAATTCCCAGATACAGGTTGGGCGTTACCACAGGCCTGGGACCATTCCTGGTGGCCAGTGTGGAGGTAGCTGCTCTCTTTTGGAGGGTGAAAGAGGGTAACCATATGTGCAAAAGTCATTTTACTCAGTTGGCTTCAGTGCCAGAGAATGATACCATATGTGTTTATTCTAACAGCATAGACATGAGTCCAGCATCTTGACTTGTTGGAGAAACTTTGCCTAAAAAATATCCCTAAAAGACTGATTGAAGATTAAAATATGATTTCAATCATTTTTTTCTACTCTTTCAAGTACATCCCAAAGACAAATTTTTACCTACAACTCTAGAGGACATCTGGCATCTCACAGTAAATATTTATTTGCAGTAATAATAGCAAATCAACAACAGCAACAAACCCCATCAATATGATGCCAGCAACATCTATGGCATTATTTTCAGGTGTTCTAGTTTTGTTACTGTCCATCTTTTTTCCTTTCCCTCAACAATAAAGTATCATTATACATTCTATGCAGCTGAGCTCCTGTCATTTTTACATCAGGTCCTAATAATTGTATTATTATACATAAATTGAATTAAAGACTGACATAAAATCAGAGAATCAGAGAATCAGAGAATCACAGAGTGTTAGGGGTTGGAAGGGACCTCTAGAGATCATCTAGTCCAACCCCCCTGCCAGAGCAGGATCCCCTAGGGCAGCCACACAGGAATGTGTCCAGGCGGGTTTTGAAAGTCTCCAGAGAAGGAGACTCCACAACCTCTTTCGGCAGCCTCTTTCAGTGCTCCGTCACCCTCACTGTAAAGAAATTTCTCCTCATGTTAAAAGTGGAACTTCCAGTGTTCTAGCATATATCCATTATTCCTTGTCCTGTTACTGGGCACCACTGTGAAAAGACTGACACCTTCCTCTTGACACCCACTCCTCAGATATTCATATACATTCATAAGATCCGCTCCCAGCCTTCTCTTTTCAAGACTAAACAGCCCCAGTTCTCTCGGTCTCTCTTCATAGGAGAAATGTTCAAGTCCCTTAATGATCCTCGTAGCTCTCCATTTGACTCTCTCCAGTAGATCCATGTCTTTTGAATTCGGGAGCCCAAAACTGGACACAGTATGTGTGGTCTCACTAGGGCAGAGGAGAGGGGGAGGAGAACCTCCCTAGACCTGCTGGACACATTTTTCTTAATGCACCCCAGGATCCCATTGGCCCTCTTGGCCACAAGGACACATTGCTGTCCCATGGACAACTTATTGTCCACTAGCACTCCAAGGTCTTTCTCCATGGAGCTGCTTTCCAGCAGGGTGTCCCCTAATCTGTACTGGTGCCTGGTGTTATTCCTCCCCAGATGCAGGACTCTACACTTGTCCGTGTTGAACTTCATGAGATTCCCCTTCGCCCAGCTCTCCAGCCTGTGCCAGCCACCCCCCCACCCCAATTTCATATCATCAGCAAACTTTCTATCCCCTCATCCAGGTCATTGATGAAGATATTGAACAAAACTGCAGCCAGTACTGATACCCTATGAATATATGTTGAACCTACTCAGAAGTTACCAATAATCACTCTGCATGCATCTCTTGGCACTACTGATTTTTAGATTTGTGTTCAAATTGGCCCAGCAGTACTGAAAGAAATCATCAGCAATGTGAGAATTTTTACAGTAGCCATTCCTGTCACCCAGGCCAGAGATTATCTTTTAACAACAGAATGTGCGAATTCTTCACTTTGCTCACCATGACCAGCTAACCTTCATATTCACATTCAATGTATTTGCATAATTCTTTTAATTTCTTTTAGTGCAAGCATGTGGCTATTTTTTCTATTATTGGCTGAAAAGTATGAAATTGTAAAGCAGAAATGATAGTATTACATTGCAGTTTGAGAATGCTGTCAATTGTTCATGCTGTAATATTTTAGCCAGTAGACTACAAGTAAGAAAGGGAAAAGAATTATTTAATTCAGAGATTATGAGATACCTTTTCAAAATGTCTTCTAAATCTGTTTAATACTTCAGTGACTGGACAGGATGGTTTTGGAAAATGGGTGATTAATTTTGGCGATGTTCTTGTAAACAAAGTTTGCTTTGTTGGTTGTTCAGCCTAAGTCTGGTCTTGTCCTCTTATTCATTGGTTAAAATAAGAAAATTTTTTTCAGTTTTCCGCATATGCTTATAGACCTGAGGTTGATACGCTTTCTTGCCTTTCCATTTTTTATTTCCTTTGGTGTCAGACTGGTATTTCTAGTGTTCTAATACTTGAGAAAATAGTCATCTTCTCTATTTCTGCAATTATTTTTTCTCCATCATGGCTCTTCTAGTTCTTTTGCATGGTTAAGAATGGTCTGTCATTTCCAGCCCTTTGATGGGCAGCAGTGGTTGCACTGGTATGCATTTGGGCATGAACACTGAAATACTGATGGCTTTCTAAGAGCTGCTTCTTGCGCAGCAGTCAGGATGTTGCACAAGAGTCTAAACTTGTCTCTCTGAGGTACTGGTTATTATTCTTCATGTTGTAGAAGAGAGAAAAAAATGAAATCCACTTAAGTTGTACTTAGGGTCCCTCAATCCCAAATCAATATAAATACCACATGAATAGGTAAAATATAAAATGTCACTTATGACAAGCAGTGATCACAACAGGCCACAATGATGCTGGTGTGTTAGTGAGCCAACTCCATTCTGAGATCTCCTGGAACGAGGAAGAGAAAAAAAAAACCCAAACAGATAAACTATTGCTCTAGACAGAGGTGGATAGTTAGAGGCTTAGTTAAAACCTCATAATTAAGGAAGGATCATGGGTAGGATCTGAAACACAATGAAGGCTTGCACCTTTGAGTGCAGAAATGTACACCATCTGACAGGATCTCCACTTTCTATGGTATTTTCATATCTGGAAGGACCCATGATACTTAGAATCCCAGGGATAAAAGAATGATGTTGTTGGGTTTTGTTTTGTGGGTTTTTTTCCTTCATAGGGAATAAGTGTATTTGTTTAATAATATATTGATCATACTGAGGTGGGAGGACCGAGGTGGAATGAGGCTGTAAACAAATGAATGCTCTTACCAAGTGCTCTTACCGTGCTGAAAAAGTTTAGCCTCCCTCACAAGGAGTGAAGGAATTACTCTCCGTTACTCTGGGGAGAAACACCTTGACAGCTAACAACAGAAAAACACAAAGGAGAAAGAAAAATTAGACAATTTCCGTCTTTCGGTGAGAATAATTTGCCAACAACTTTTTTTTTTTTCTGACTGTTTTCTAATAAATGGAATTATAAGCCATTTTTGCTTTATTCTGTCAGACTTTGCTGTGTCCTTCTTTGTAAATACTAAATGCTAATAAGGACTTCTGAGGAAAGTTTCCTCCCCATTTGAGTCATGCATTATAGCAATTTGACCACGTGGTCTCAAAGGGGAAAAAAACAGGCTTACAGATGCAAAAAAACCCCAAGACATCCTCTTATTTGGATATAGTTGATAAGTTTGAACTTATGAATTATCAATCCAAGAATGGTAAAACTTGGAGGTAGCAAAATGTGTCTCCAGCTAGGTGCCTGTGAGAGTTTTACCCATAACAGTTAAGATTTTCACCCAAGTTTCAGTGAATGCATCTGTGTGGTTCACAGGTTGGCTTAGCTCAGCTGCAAGCGTTTTATCGCAGTGATGCAAGGAAATCTTACTTTTTCTATAGCTCATTGTACTATGCAGTTCTCCTGGGCTTACCTGGCTTGAGAAGTACAGGATATTAATGGTAGATCTGAAAGCACTGTGAAGAATCAAAGAGAA